GTCTGTCTGTCTGTCTCTATCTGTCTGTCTGTCTGTCTGTCTGTCATCTTAATCTCTAATCTCTATGTATGTGGCAGGACACATTGTCTTGCTCATCTTGGCCGATGTCTCCGGGGTTGCGCTGGGAGAAGAGATGGGTGGATCTTCGTCTCATCCCCCTCTTGCATGCGCGTCTGTCCCAGTACATCCCAGGTACTGACATTTGCAGGTGAGCTGAGCAGGAACCCACACAATAAATGTCTCTGTTTTGTCTTTGGCTTTGATAGCACTTACAGTCGTTTGTAGAGTTGCAGTGCCTAATGTGATGTATTTTTCTCTTGCTTTCATCTGGTAATTCTGTTTGTATTCTAGTCACACAGGATTTTCCTTGATTAGTATTTTAGGGGTTATATTAATTCACAGCCATTCCCAAATGAACCACATTAGACCTTTAATACCAAATGCAAACTTTGATGAGGTTAAGCTGTTTGAAATGAGACCTTTTTGCACATAAAGTGGAACGTAATTGAAAACTCTTAAATTGTATTGAATTAAATCAATCTGTTTTTTAAATTGCTTTGAATTAAAGTGAATTGAAAAAGGAGAATTAGACCTTAGTTAGCTACTTTTTGCATTTTGTGGAATGTCTCCTGAGTGCGCATATTTTTAATTTCTCCAGGCAAAATGCCTTTCAAGTCATTGCTGTGGATGGGGTGTGCAGCGGGGTTATTCAGTGCCCCAGTACTGACGAATGCACCGACTGGCTGCAAGCAATAGCTTCAAACATTTCTGCCCTCACCAAGCACAACGTGAGTACAAATGCAGTTTCAGCATGGTAAAAGTGTAGCAATTTAAGTCAATTCTTACACAAACGGTGATGGCTTAGAGTGTAAGTACTAATGAAATTTAACCTCTATGTCTTATAATGTGACTACCCAATGTATAGAGGGGTCCAAAAATCTGAAATCACACTGAAACTGTGAGATTAATTTCTTTTCAACACGGAGAAAATTAAACGTTTCAGATTTTGAAGAACTTAAAACATAAAAAATAGTTAAATTAATAATGATGTTTAATGTTACCATTTTGGTCGGTAAGATTTTTGAAATATTTTTGAAAGAAGTCTCATATGGTCACCGAGGCTGCATTTATTTAATAAAAAGTACAGTAAAAACAGCAATATTGTGAAATATTATTACAATTTAAAATAATTGTTTTATGTTTGAATATATTTTAAAGTATAATTTATTTCTGTGATGCAAAGCTGAATTTTCAGCATCATTACTCCAGTCTTCGGTGTCACATGATCCTTCAGAAATCATTCTGATATGCTGATTTGGTGCTCTAGAAACATTTCATCTTATTATTAATGTTTTAAACAGTTGTGCTGATTAATATGTTTGTGGAAACAGTGATACATTTTTTTCCAGGATTCTTTGATGAATAGAAATTATAAATGGCCCATATAACGCATCCTTGAAAAAAAAAAAAAAAATCTTACTGACCCCAAAGTTTTGAACAGTAGTGTATGCATATATTTATATATACATTTAAATGATATCCAAAGACCACTATTGGCTTTATTTAGTCTTTTTAATAATAAAAAATACAAATATTATCAGCATTTATCAAATTAAGTTATACATTTAATTGAAAAAATAGCATTTTTCATTTCCATTGATTTTGTGTCTTTTTGCACAATATAAAAATCAATTGATATATTTCCAGTTTTTCTTTAACAGCATACCAACATTGGAGCCCTGGTTTAATGGTTAGCGCTCATTCTCTTGACATATTCAGCGTGAATCGTGACATTTCTTGCTTTTGTTCCCCCTCATTTCCTTTCCTCTTTCCATTATTGTTTCTCTACAAGTTCTTTGATAAATACCACCTAAATAAAACACAAGGTATTGTGGTTTGTTTGGACCGGATGATCTTTGTGCAACTGTGTCAGGGCAACATTCGCAGATTTATAGTGCTTCATTGTCTCTGGAGAGAGTGTACCGAACCAATTTGTGCGATAAACTACATTTATGCTTAATGATGGAGGTAATTCGGGAAGACATCAATTTTCATTTTGGCCAGGCAGGTCATGTGTTGTAATCCCCTCAGTGCAGTAGAAAGTCTGTCTGTCTGTCTGGCATGTTAAGGCATTCAAATGGCGTTTCCCACACAATGAAGGATTTCACTCTTAATTACCGATTGAACGCAGCGGTGCCTCGTGGCTCAGATCACTCGCTTTTGAGCGAACCCCTACAAAAATCCTCCATCTTGCGTTTATTTATTTTGAGTGTGTTTAGCATTTCCCGAAAAATCATCGCAAAGAAGATGATAAGTTTGCTCCTCACAACAGTGTACTGTAGCGTTTGCTTTGGATTATCCTGCAGAGGGACCATCTGGATGAGCTTTCAGTCCATTTCCTGCGAGGAAAATAGACCTTATTCCACATTCAAATGGAGCTATTAGATTAATTTGTGAGACTGGCCGGGGTTACATGGGTTATGAAGCTAGTGAGAATGTTAATCTTGAATAAAGCTTCGCAGCAGGAGCGATTCTCCTGGTGCTCTGGATGAACAGTAGTACCTCTGTTAGTCTGAAACACACAAGATGCATGGCGTTCTTTTTTCTGCTACTTGAATAATTGGGCTGAGACACGCTAAAGGTCATTCGGTGATCACCAGAGATCTGTGAAGCAGATTGGCATACTTCGCTGGCCTTTTGTTAGGATTTATGATTGAGATGTCTAGGAAATCTCTTGACTGTCAAGAATCGGAGGTTGATTGAAAAGGATTCATGAAACCTGCGAATCTGTAACGTCGTACAGTTTTGTGGATTTTTTCATCCCTAAAGTGCATTTTAGTTAGTGTTTCCTTCAATAAATATTATTAAAATACTGTAAATTACTTACAATGTTTCTCATTTGTAAATCACTTTGGATAAAAGCATCTGCTGAATGAATAAATGTAAAATGTAAAAGTACAAAAATGACATAAAATCAAGGCATTTCCACAGATTTCATCCCCCAAAAGGCATGGGCCTGCTTTATAGTGTACATAGCACTTTATAATATATTTTAAATATGTGACGCTGGACCACAAAACCAGTCATAAGGGTCAATTTTTCGAAATTGAGATTTATACATCATCTGAAAACTGAATAAATAAGCTTTCCATTGATGTATGGTTTGTTAGGATAGGACAATATTTGGCCGAGATACAACTATTTGAAAATCTGGAATCTGAGGGTGCAAAAAAAAAAAATCAAAATATTGAGAAAATCATCTTTAAAGTTGTCCAAATGAAGTTCTTAGCAATGCATATTACTAATCAAAAATGCTGTTTTGATATATTTACGGTAGGAAATTTACAAAATATCTTCATGGAACATGATCTTTACTTAATATCCTAATGATTTTTGGCATAAAAGAAAAATCAATAATTTTGACCCATACAGTGTTTTTTGGCTATTGCTACAAATCTAATCTATTACTTAAGGTGCACACATCATCTTTAAATCTATTTTACATCTATATTATTATAAATATAACTGTAAAATATATTTAATAGTATATAAATAATAGTATTTTTAAAGAATAAAAATAAATATTTAAACTATTTATTTATTTCAAAATATATTTGTTATATTTTATAATTCTATATCATTTTAAAAAACATATATACATTTTACATGTTTTATTTAAACAAACTTATTTAATTATAGTGCACACATTATCTTTAAGTATTCTAAATATATATTATTCGAATCACAAATGTAAAATATATTTAAAGGTATATGAATATTAAATATAATATATAGGAATATTTAAATCTGTCTATTTAAAAGTACATGTTTTATATTTTATATTTATATTTTATAATGCAACATATACTTGTAAAATATATGCATATTAAAAAAAAACAAATCTAATTATAGTGCACACATCATCTTTAAATAAATGTTAAATATATATATTATTATAACCATATAAAATATATCTAAACGTGTGTATGTATATATATATATATATATTAATTTTAATAAAAATAAATAATATACACATTATTTAATAAATTTCAGTATATATTTTATAATTTGTAAAAAAAAAAACTATCTAATCTGTTAATTCTTTTAGTGAACACATCAACTTTAAATATGTATTATAAATATATACAAATATTTTTAAAGGTCTATACATTAATTATAAAATATTTGATAGATTTTCATATGAATTTTTGTATAAACACGTTCAAAAGTCTAACCTGTTAAATCTTTATGATTCTATTGCAGGTGAAGAAGATCAACAGAAACTTTCCAGTAAACCAGCAGGTAAAGAAACAGAATCAGACTTGTTGAGAAGGTGTGAATTGAACCTTGAAGAGTGACAAAAAGCCTGCAGAGATCCAGATGAAGCCCTGATAGAGCGAGTGACTTGGTCGGCACACTTGAATGAAGCCCCACAATGATGTTTTCTGTCAGAGCCACTATTCTTCATGCGCTGTGACGCATGTGCCCTGCAGAAAGCCAAGAGTCAAGTTCACAAGGCATTGAGATTCTCTGAACCGCCTGACGCCGTGCTCCTCAAAACCGTTTGACACACACAGACTGACAGATACTTGGTCACAGTGTCCAGTTTTAGTCTGTGACCTCCCAGTGCTGACATTTTCAACGATCAAGCTCTGAATTAGACTTCATTTTTGGCAAATGTTGAATGGAGAAGAATGTTTCTTCCTGGAAACTCTGTGCAGACTAATTACTTGGAACGGCTTAGTCCTTCTATAACCTATTTGACACTTTCTTTTTGTGTCTTTCTGTCGTTTAGATTATATTTATGGGCTGGGTGGATGAGAAGGAACAAGATTCTGTTCAGGACCGAATGTACACACCAAAGTTTCTTGCCTTGAGGGGTTCGTCTCTCTTCAAATTCTCCGCACCTCCAGTGAGTTCTTCTGCATGATTTACTGCATCAGGAGCCTTTCAGTTTCAATAACTGACTTTTCTATGATTTTATATTTAGCATACGCACGCAATATTTATTCTACTTGGGGCAACTTTGGCTGGAAAAAAAAAACAGTGACAATTATGAAAGCACATCAAACTCTTGTTGAAACTTTTCTTGAGTGCAGTTCATTGCACTGAAGAATTGTTAAAGGAATACTTGACCCAAAAATGCATATTTCCTCACTCGTTTAAAACCTTTAAGCTGTTTTTAGTGCAAAATAAAAGATTTAGACTTGAATTTCAGTGTTTTCTTTACACAAATCTATTGCATGATTTGTAATTAGCACTCAAGTCATAGGTTTTTGTTCTATTTGGAGCAAATATGGACGTTGTTAACTTAAAATTATTTATAAAATAAAAATTTAAATTAAAAATATAAAATGAAAAGAATAATTTAAAAAATCTTATTTGATGTTCCATGAAAATATATCTATTAAAAATAATTTCGTTAACTGAAATAAAGATGCAATTAAATAAAATATAAAGATTAGAAAGATTAGACATTTGGACTTTTAAAAAACTTTAATTATAAATGATAAATGTTGCTTTGGCAACTAAATTAAATAAAATTAATTAAAAATTAAATTAAATTAATTGAAGTTGAAGTACATTTCTAAATAAATAAATTACTAAATTATTTAAATAAATACTAAAATCACTCAATTACTGAAATAAAAATAGTAAACATAAATATGAAAAAATACAATAAAAATTACAAAAACATATAACAAAATTACAAAAACTAAAATTAATATGAAAACTGAAAATACAAAAATAAAAGTGAATTTAAAGTATTAAAAATATTTTAATAGTATGCAAATAATGCTAAAATAAATATGAAAAAATTACACAAAATTACAAAAGCATGTAACAAAATTACAAAAACTACAATTATGATGAAAACTGAAAATATAAAAATAAAAGCTAATTTCAAGTATTAAAAATACTTTAATCGTATGCAAAGAATGCTAAAATAAATATGAAAAAACTACACAAATTTACAAAAGCATATAACAAAATTACAAAAACTAAAATTATGATGAAAACTGAAAATATAAAAATAAAAGCGAATTTAAAGTATTAAAAATACTTTAATAGTATGCAAATAATGCTAAAATAAATATGAAAAAACTACACAAAATTACAAAAGCATGTAAAAAAAATTACAAAAGCATGTAACAATATTACAAAAACTGAAATTATTATGAAAACTGAAAATATAAAAATAAAAGCTAATTTAAAGTATTAAAAATACTTTAATAGTGTGCAAATAATGCTAAAATAAATATGAAAAACTACACAAAATTACAAAAGCATGTAACAAAATTACAAAAGCTAAAATTATGATGAAAACTGAAAATATAAAAATAAACGCTAATTTAAAACATGAAAAAATATTTGAATGGTATGTAAATAATACTAAAATAACACTGCAGGATACAGTTTGGGTTTGGAATGACGATGAGTAAATATTCATTTTTTTGGTGAATTATTTCTTTAAAGAATTGCCCATTTTCACCCCCAAGCAGTTAGCGTCCACATTATTTGCTCCAGTTGTTATCGACTTTATGAAATCCATTAATCCGTTCAGCCGTCCGCAGGCTAAATCACCTAACCTGATGCCCTAACACTTCCATTTAATAAAGCCTAATCTCCATACACAATCAGCAATTAATTTCATCATAATTCTGGGAAATGATTTAGAATGAAACATGAATGATAATCTGAGAAGTGTCTCATTAAAGGTAAACCTCTCCTAATATGGAGATTGATAGCATTGATAACGGTGGTTTTTACCTCTCGGTCTCCCCCCGTGTTTCACGTCAGATGGTATGGTCCTGATGAAATGAGGAATTGCTGTAGTTGGTGCTTGTAGATGTTGCCACTTAATTAATTGATCCTGAAGAGATCGAGACATCAAAGAGCTTCATCCAATCTGCCATTAGTCGTAATTTGATGGTGGAGTGGGAGGAAGATCAAAAGTTTGGATGTGAAAACCTATTATGGCATACTCAGATGCAAAATTACATTGGAGAGAACTTATGACACTCAGCAGTTTGTCCAAAGGCTCTCTCAGGTTATTTCAGCTCGTTCAGATGTTCTCCGCTTGCGCCAGTAAACACTTGACATGCTGCCTTGCAGGAAGGACTAGGTAGAAAGTTGAATTTCTAAGCAAATTTTGACATGAAAGCAGTTCAGGTGCACAAAGCCAAGTTTTGGTTAATCTGGTTAGCCCCCAAAAAAGATATGTTTTGTATGTCTGTTGCTGTTCAGAACCTATTACTTATTTCTGAGTAACAAAGGACATTCAAGCAGACCAAATATAGGATGACTTGATTTTTGCAACTGGGAGACAAGTGGATCGTGAAAAGGGTCTCTGTATGACACAAGGTTGGAGGGGTTGAAAAATGAAAGGCCTTTATGAAAAATAAAGTCATTTCAGATTTCATTTTGATGGACGATTATGGAGGCCATCATTTTATTTTCTTAGCAATAACTTCAGTGATTAATCATACACTATTAGACCAGTACCGTGTTAAGAAAGTAAAATGGTTATTATTATTATTATTATTATTAATAATAATAATAATAATAATAATAAATTTAATTTAAGGCGCCTTTCAAATCACTCAGGGTCACCGTACATCATGAACAATAAATAAAACAGCAATAAATAACAATAAATAGCAATATCAATGAACCATAAAAAAGAACATAATTAAAGATTTGAGTGTAGACAGTAATCATGTATTACTATTATTATTATTAAATATAATTGTTTTATTACATTTATTTAAATCTATCCAAAATTATTATTAATTAAATTAACTATTTTTTCATGGTTATAATTTTTTTATAATGATTTATTTTTCATAATTTATGAATATATTTTCTGTTGTTTTTTTGTAATATTATTAAAAACTTTTTTTTTCTTTGGAGTAACATGCAGTAAGGCCAGAAACAAAGAAAAGGATAATTTTATTATTATTATTATTACATTCATTTATTAAATGTATTCAAATTATTTGTTTATTTGTAATATTTATATTATTTTTATAATAATAATAATAATTTTTTTTCTTGTACAATTTTTTTTTACATGCTCTGATAAATCATACACAATAGAAGCATGTTTAAAAAGTAAAAAGAGAAATTATTATTATTATTATTATTACTATTATTATTATTACATTAATTTATTAAATTCATTAAATGTATTTAAATTGATTCATTAATGAAAATATTTTTTATTATTTGTATACAATTTTATTATTACATTTTTTGTTTGTTCATAAAGTACAAAGGGTTATTATTTTTTTTATTATTATTATTATTATTATTGCATTTACATATATTAAATTCAGTAAAGGTATCCAAATATTTTGTTGTTTATAATTTTTTATAATGTTTTATTATTATCCTATTAATAATAATATTTATGATAATAATGGCTAGGTTAACCAGTTGGCTCAACCAAGTTAATGCACTACTTCCAAATGCCATATATTACCTTTTTATTATGTCTTGTTCCATGCATCAAGGAGATCTTTGGATGATCACCCAAAGTCTATGTCAGTGCAGTGTGCGTGCGTGCATGTGTGTGTGTGTGTGTGTGCGTGCGTGTGCGTGTGCATGCGTTTACTCAAGCAGTGAGTTCTTGACTGGTACTCTGACATTTGAAAACTCTGCTCTGAGCCACTTCAGTCTGAAGAAAACACTCCTGAGTCCTCTGTTCCGTCATGATCCATCTTCACTGGTCTTTGGATATTAGAGGTTACTGCTGATGCTCAGCGTGAGTCGTTCTCGTACACAGGATCTCAGGGGGTTTTCCCTCCTTCGTGTTTACTTCATGCAGCATTTGAATCATCCCTCGAGGGCCGCAGTGAGAGCGAGTGACCCAGAGCTAATCTGAATAATGCACTGTCTGTGACGACTGACAGCCATCTGAACTCCTCTAGGTCACCACCTGGGACTGGACCAGAGCCGAGAAGAGCTTCACCGTCTACGAGATCATGTTCAAGATACTGAAGGTATGAGCTCAAGTACTTCGGGATTTCACCTGTCAAGCCTTACACATTAATACTGTGATGCTATCAGATATCTAGTTGGTGATAAATCAGTGTCCTCCTACAGGTACTTATTCTGTGGTTATTTATTGAGTAATAATTAGAATGACTTTTTATATGAGAATTTAATTACATTTCATTTAAAACCCATTTAATTTCTCATTTAAAACCCATTCATAATTGCAAATTGTAGACATAAAACTGAAGAAAATTAAAAAAATAAATATTTAATATTCTTCCCTTTTTTTAGTCACTAATACAGTTTTATATTTATAATTATGTAATTCTCAAAAAAATATTGTTTGTCTGACTCACAGTATGTTTTGAATTTAGCTAATTTTTCTCCAATAAAGGTGGATGGAAAGGATTCGTTCACTTCATTAAATAATTATTACAACACCAGTGACAATAGTAACCTAGAAAGATAGTGCATTACAACTTTTTTGTATTTGATATCAGAAATCAAGGGGACAAATATTCTTTTTCAATTATTTAAATTGCAAATTACTTAATTTGTTTAGATTTTTGCATGTAGGGAAAGTTTGAAAAAAATAAATGTTAATGAAATAAAAATAAAATAAAGTAGCAATGTGTTATTCTTATTTGCATTTAACATCCCATACGCATACGCTTCATTTCAGCAAAAAAAAATTGCTGAACAAAAAATAAAATAAAAATTGCACTAATGCTTTAATAAAATTTGTAAAAAAAAAATTAAAAAAAATAATAATAAATAAATAGCTATAGACTATAAAATCATTATTAGACTAAACAACTAACACTTTATATATTGTCAAAAGTTTAGAAACATTATAATTTTTAAATGTTTTAATGAAGTCTCTTGTGCTCACCAAGGCTGCATTTACTTAAAGAATACAGTAAAAACGGTAATATTGTGAAATATTATTATCATTTGAAATAACTAATTTCTATTTGAATATATTTTATAATGTAATTGATTTCTGACACAAAGCTGAATGTTCAGCATCATTACTCCAGTCTTCAGTGTCACATGATCCTTCAGAAATCATTCTAATATGCTGATTGACTTGAATCTATTAACAGAAAAAAAATTATGTTTCCAAATTTTTGACAAGTATGTATATATATATATATATATATATATATATATATATATATAGTTATTTACATCTAGAACATTTCTGTTTATA